GAAACTTGTTCCCCCTCGCCATACCAGCAGCTTGCTATTGAGCAAAAATCTCATTGATGTATTCGCTATGCTCACGCGACAGTGTCCGATGTAAAAGCACTGCATTTCTTAGACCAGGTTCCCGATCAAATTTGCGCCGAATTCCGCGTTCGCATGGAAGATCAGAGGGTGCGACCGCACTAAGGACATCATCCTTGTATATCATAGCAAGTGAATATGCCGGATCAGCTGGATCTCTCAAAATAGCCGATCCTCTACGTGATACTTCTACCCGCTGACTGAAAATTCTCGAGAACCAAATCACCCATAACTGATGACGAGAGTAGCTTCACTGAGTCGCCTTTCGACGACCTCTGCAGTGTCATCACCGTTGAAGTCGTAAGGGGATCGCTTAAGATTACTTCTTCGAGCTTCAACATCATTTCCTTCGTCGACAACAGTGCCAAGAGAGCATCTGTTATGATAATTCGCAATCGGTCGATTCATCTACAATACGTGATCCAGCATACTCGCATGCTATATTTTGGCGTTGGAGAGTACGCTAGACTTGCTCAGCCGCATCCAGGCAGGCGTATCAGTACCGCGGCTAACAAATTTCGTTGATTTCTCTACATTTGTGAAACGACACAACGTGTGAGAAAATCAACTTTGTGGTCAGTTGGACCCACTGACCCACAATCCGACTCAACCACTGTATAAATAGTAGTATTTGCATATCTAGCCACAGTCGATTCCTTCGACATTCCATTACACACATGCCGACGGTATCCATCTGTGTTGAGAAGGGCATCAATTAAAATCTCTCCCTCAAACCGCGCTCTGTTGGGCATATGAATATGCTCACCACCTAATTATTAGTTCTCACGTGGCCAGCTCTGACCCCACTTGGTTCATCGACACACTTCGTTAGTGACCACCAGTGGTCACTTCATTTGACTTCGATTCTCTGCTAACCTGGGAAACGTTAATAGACTGACACATGCCAATAAAGTGTGAAACATTTACTGGAGCATGCGACTACTGAGCGCTTAAATGCTTGTTCCGGTGCATAGTGATTGTGAGTTCATTACCTCAAGAGTCTCACCTACACAAGGAAAGCTACTCACAAACATCGTCGATCGCAATCGATCCGTGACGCATTCATCACAAGCCACTGTGTACCTAACTTCAGCTCATACCGTTTGTTCATCTCAAAATCTGTCCTTCAAATTGAAGTCTCCAAACTTCACTTGAAGATCAACTATAATTTTCTTCGCGGTGACAACCACACCAGTGGCCAACTTCATTCAGATAAAGCCAATGCTTCTATCTAATGCATCCAAAAGCTCTTAATCATTTAAGCCCCTTTTTTGCTTTCGCGCGTAGTCAGGCGACGTGCCGAAGTCAATCAAGACTCCAAACAAACGACCGTAGCCCGTCACACTCGCTGTGACCATGAGGAGACCACTTCAATTTCTGCCGTATGCAAAGGACAGTAATCGTTCTAGGGCGAAACACTCAAATGTGATTCTATCACCACACTTTCAAGTGCTCATAATTATCTCAGTAGATCAGTTCGAGTATACTGGGTACAGGCAAACGATCAGGTTGTAAGTACCACCTGGCTCGGAACCACTACGACGAGTGCCGAGAGACATGTCCTCCACGAGAACAATCACGGCGAATATGAGTTTTACTGCCTACGGACAGTCGCCACCCTTAAATCCATCGGTTCGGGATCTCTAGTAGTAGCAAATACTGCTTTCATCGGGTTGACCAATTGACCACGTGAATGACGCTGACAAGACTTCTCACGCAATGCAATCATGATTGCATCTTTTAGAGTCAACAAACCTTGAAGGAGGACTTCAGTCTTAAGAGGACCATAAGTGACCGCCACTGCCTCTGGGATTCGTTAGCTCACGGATCTCCCGCATATCGTCATATAATGTACTGTTGTCTTAACGGCATGATAAAAGCTTCGACTGTTGTCTAATGTCACGTGTATCGGGAAGTAATATCAATTTCATGGCTTTTTTAATATGGTAGTATGGTTAGGGCGATTGCCCAGATCCCTTGCATTACTGTCCAAATGTAACAGGGCGAAGACCGCTTGACTGCATTCATCGTAGACTTGATCCGTCGCGGTGTTAAAGTCTATTTCTCGCTGCCATACCGCGAGAAATTCATCTTCGTTTCTGTGAAAGCTTCACACCTTGATTTTCACGAGACGTTATATGTGCACCGACCGTGTCGTCAGTACATGTGGTGGGGGTGACAAAACTGACTTCGGTATGTTTTATGATTTAAATCCAAATAATCAATGCGTATACGCAGCTATGTTTGCCAAGCGCTAAGTTATCGCTTCTTGATCTTGGTAAAGCATATCGAAGACTACGTGATCTCCGATTAAATATCACAGCTTCATCGCAAATTCCCATTGAAAGGGAGTTTGAAGTGAATATTCCGCCCTGTTGATCTAAGGGTATCCACCACCTGTGGTGTCCACATTATCTATATATAAACTAATCAAAGTAGTCGGCGCTGCAATTACTACTAGTGCTACCGATTGAAACATATTTTAAGACTTCAAGAGGTTGACGCGCTTCACAGCGTGTTGCTCACTTCCAAGAAGCTGTTGATTAACTTGAGAGTAGAAAATGTGAAGTGATATTCATTATGCTACCCCCTAAACTGATGATATTTTCAAACTTTGTATTAAAGAAATGAGAGACGTACAACTAGTGAAATGGCAACCCCACACAAATTTGTCTTTCACACAACTAGTGTCGTAGGTTCGACCCGAATTCAGCTAGCCTAGGTATGAAACTTCTATAAATTTCGTACGGGGCTGGGATTGTTCAATACTGGTAGCGATGGTGCCCCGAGCTGAGCTCGTTAGACATTGACGGCAGCGAGACGTGATCTGAGAAAAAAACAATAATTAACAACTGTAAATTTTAGTCTCCAGGGTGTATTCGTATTAAGATGGAAATATACGACAATGTGTTGTGGTCCCCGGGCAGTGTATCTTTGGTGAGCGGCAAAGGTAGCTATAAGCTCTTGTTTCGTACGTCGACGCTAATGAAGAGGGATGCGCAGTCTCTCGCGCCAGATCCACAGGTATTAAATTGATATTGTAAAAATCGAGTAGGTGTGCCAGGCCTCCAAATTCTAGATGAAGAATTGACCATTGCTATAGTATAACAGTGCTGCTGAGTCAGCACTACCGTATGATGGTCTTACCGTGCGGAACAGTGAAGCATTTTGGGTAAATGATAAGAATGATTATCTAGCTTGCTAACGGGGTCAAGATTAACGATGCTACATTTAGCATAAGCTCTCATTGAGCTGGTAATGTGAACGAGAGTTTGCAAGACAATGAAGTCACGGAACGAATATAATTGGTACCGGAGCAGAATCGGAGGTCATCACTTGTCGAGCATTTATTGCAGAATGTAAGACCGCTCCATTCGTCAATTCCAAGGGCCCTTTATTTATTTGCTAAAGGATATTGCCACATAGTGCCGCCAGGCACTTTAGTCCCATAAACGTCATAATATTGACTTAGATCCCGGAACCAGATATTGTGTCACACGGCGATGGCTTGTACCAAGGAGATAGTGAGGATTCATTGAAATATATTGATAAAGGGGAGTAAGTCTTATCAATCAGCACCACATTTTGTGTCGGAGAAGCTTGCATGAGGACATGTATATTAAGTTGGATGCAGCTACCATTTCGGCGCAAGCGTTTCTTATCAAAAATGTACTGCAGAATAGCATGCTTGTTTGCAATCTGTCCAATTCTGCAACCCTGGGTAATGGATAGCACACCTCTTAATGCAGTGAGTATTCTGTGCGTTATAGTGCTGAAGTGGCTATTAAAGCCGCAAAAACAATCTAATGCTCCGGTGACACTCAATTGTCTCGTGCCATAAGCATTGACACCTTGATCTGCCATGCCGATTTTGGCAAAGATTTATCATTTCGCTAGGCGCCTTTTTTGAGCTTATGTATTCAATAATACAGATGGAATACTGGTTACGAACCGTTTGGGCGAAATGGCCAGTTTAAATGCTACCTACCATAGGGCTACCCTTTTTACGAGAACGCGCTACTTGCGATGATATATTCTACTTTGTCAAGTTTAGGGTTCAGATCGTTTCGCCTATGAACTGTGATATGTACCGGTCGTGTTATGCAATTGAATTAAGTTAATGCTTTTAGCTAAAAACAAAACGCCCCACGGCTCCCATAGCTTATCCTAATTAGATCTTAGATTCCTGGTTTATCAGGTGTACGGAGCGTGAGCTTCGAAAAGCTTGAACTTCATCTTGGGTACTTGAAGCTAGCGAGAATGCCTACGAGATCCGTACTCAGGTCGCGCACTGGGAAAGTAGTTCGCGCTGTCTCACCCAATTTTGCAACCTAGCTACAGTGATGAACAAGGTACGGCGCGGACGACGAGATTATAGTTATCACCTTGAGCTCCTGATGTTATAGTCTGCTCTCCCATTAGTTAGTCGATATAACTATTGAACAAGTGTCAACCTCACAACTAGGTCCGAACATATTGTTGGCTCTTTTGATCTCTTTTATTTGTGGCAAAAACGGTGATCCGCTTCATGAAGCATGACGTGCGTCTGGAAAGGAGATGGATCCGATATAGAAAGCGCTTACTAAGCTTTGCCATCTCTAATTGTGCCCTCAGCGGCTCAGAACCTTGTCGCTGCTCTTTTGCAGAATGGTTTAGTGATTGCTACGCCTCATATTCTAGAATAATTTGCTTCACATTTGACTGGCATGCCAAACCCGGATTTTCGCGTGGCTTCAGCAAACCCAATGTTAAGAACGCAAGGATGTTAGTCAATCTTTATGGGATGATAAGAGTACAACTTATCCATGAATCACGGCGATATCAACAGTCCGATGTAGCGGTCGCTAATATAATTTATAGACCGCTTACACTGCATTTCTAGGTTGGTTACTGCAGCTAGTAGGTAAACAGCTAGAACGATTATGTATTTGACTGATAGCGGGGCGCTGTTTCAGAAATTGGACCGTCTTCTTGACAGTTCTCTTCGACGAGCGCATCGGCACCCTGAAAATTGTTTTAATGGCGTCTGCAAGACAGATCCAGCTTTTTTTGGTTTGTCGAGCCCTTTTGCAAACATGCTGTTATGATCTGACACGTAAAGCGCAAAAGGTGGCGGTAGCCTCCAATCGCACTTTAACTTGTTGAGCATTTGCTTTTACACAGTATCTTCATACGACGAATGGAGTGATTACCCCTGAATCCGTACTATCCTTTGGTAAGGAAATTCCAAGACGTCATCTCCAGAGACCCACCGTCGTTTCTACCTCCGGACCAAGGTGTGTGTCATGAGATTGACCTGGTTCCGGGAACTAAATTTGCGTAACACGCCAATAGACCCTGCCCAAAGAGCAGTGGGACGTCATTGACGCCTTTTTCCGTGCGAAGGACGATACAGGAATAGTGCGTGAGAGCAAGTCTCTTTTTCGAGACACACGATTTGTGTCCGGAAGCCGAACGGCTGGTGATGCCCCAAGGGCTTTCAAATGCACCAGCAACTTTTAATCTTCTTGTGACACAATTGTTCAGGTCTCACCGTGCGAATGCACAGACAAACTTTGACGACATCTTCTTCCACTGTCGTGCGGGGCACGAGAGGACAGATGAGAAAACCACATCGCTCATTTGAGAACGGTGCTCGAGAGCATGCGCACGAATAAGCTGTATGCTAATGTCGAAGTGCATCTTCGGCGCGGAATAAATCTCCTTTTAAGGGTGCTTCATTGAGAAGCGTGACCTTCGAGTGGATCCCGCTCAGGTCAAGGCCATTGTGGACTGGTCGATTCTAAAGAACCAAAATGGCTTGCGCAAGGGGCCTGGCCTCACCAACTACTTGCACAAGTATAGCGCAAATCATGCGGAAATGGCAAGGCCATTGTCGGATACGGAAAGGTGTTGGGATACCGAACACCGTGAGGCTTTTGACAGGTTCATAGACAGCCTTCTTTATCCACCAATACTGTTATTGCCAGACCCCATTTAGTATTGTTTGTAACGCTTCGGACTTTGTGATCAGGTGTACACTGCTAAAAGCAGACGCTGAAGGGCGAGATCGGTTGATTGCGTTCAAAACTCGCCAGCTTGAGACTGCGGAGAGTGAACTACCCAGTCCCCGACAAGGAATACCTGGGATAAAGTATGCACTTTTCAAGTTACGTGGGTTACGTTCTTGGCTCAAAGCCATTTGTGATCGACACAGATCATGCGTAATTACGCACTGCGACTCAGTCGCCTCATCTTTTGCAGAGGATGACCAGGTGGCTCTCATTCCTTACAGAATATAACTTTGAGGTGAAGTATTAGCCAGGAAAGCAGAATGCTTTGGCTGATGCGTTGTCACGCAGACCAGACAATATGCTTGCTCATGTCACGACGGTGACGTCGCCATTGACGGATATAATCTGCGTCGCATACGCGTGTGACAGTACATGTGTAGCGCTGCTACAGGCCCTCGGGATCAAGGGGTTTAAAAACTTGGACAAGAAATTGTCGGCGCATTTGCGCGCCCAGTTACACCGATACTCGTTGAATAATGATTTGCTGTATTGCAGCACCGATTCAACGGATACACCACGGAATTGTGTCTCCTCACGATGAGGATTTAAAATACCGTATACTCTATGGTGCCCACGACACCCTATTTCGTGGTCATCTTGGACATGTAAAGACGTACAGCTTGGTAAGTTGCAACTTTTGGTAGCCCAAGCTGTACAGATGGACGAGCACATTTATGCGCACGAGTAAAACGTGTCTGAGGGTAAAACCCTCTCTGAATGCGGCGGCGCTGCCGGCCAGTTTTCCTGTACCCCCCCCGTTGTTAGCAGTCAATGTGTATGGATTATGTGGTTGGCCTGCCGAAGGACTCGGCGGGCAACACGGGTGTGGTGGTCTTTGTGGACCGTTTGAGTAAGATGGATCATCTTGCGACACCATCGACGGTGACGGTACAGAAACGCTGTTTGTCGATCGTGTCTTTCGAAAGCATGAATATCTGAAGTCAATTGTCTCTGGCAGAGACATAAGCCGAGAAGTTTTGATTTACAATTTTCATGGTGCTGGGCACCAAGTTGGATATGTCAACAGCAGATCACCCGCAGACCGATGGTCAAACTGAGCGCATGATCGTGTCGTTGAAGACGTTCTTTGCAGCGTCTGTGCTGAGACGCAAGAAACCAGAGGACATTAAGAATAACCATTTCAGCCTTGTTCATCCGCAATTAAAGGAGACTTCCGGTGGCGTCCGGGTAAGCGCGCTCGCCATTTATCAACGTCATGCTGCCACTTTGTCGAGTTAACCCGAAAAATGTAGTGCATTTATCTACCAGCTACACGCCATTCTACGTGAACGGGTTTGTAAATCCTAATGTCCCGCTGACGCTGCCATCCCATGGCTCAGAAGTGGGGGGTAGCCGGACAACTAGCTGATAACAGCCCCCTCACCGTGCGTAAAGTAGTCGATGACTTCCTGTCTACCAGGTTGATTGTCCTACGACACATTCGCAATGCGATGGCGACGATATACAGAAGAAAAATGCAGATGGAAGAAGCAAAGTAATGTCGAAATCTGTGACGCCGGAGACCTAATTCTGTAAAATGCTAAAAAACCATCCTACACAGCAGTTTCTGCTGTCCTTAAGCCAAACGTCCTTTCGCGGTTTATAAGACCTTTTAAGGTCATAAAACAAAGTGGACCTTGCGTATACGTCGAACCCTCCGAGAAGGATGCGCACCATCCCAAAGTTTTGTGTTGGCTTGTAAAAGCCCACACAAAATCCGGCGCAAGTGAAAAGCGCTGGCAATGGGGCGGCGCCCAAAGCCACCCAGAAACTGAACCAGCAAGAGGGTATGAGCACGAAGTGCAACTGTTCGCGTTTTCAACGGCGCTAGGCGCTCCACCGTCGCACGATGTGACGTATTTGTCGGTACGACAGCAAGGGGCCGTTCCGACAGAGCACCATAATCCTCAATGTGAGGCAGACAGCGCATAAAGTGCTCCAGGCTCTCGAGGCCTTCTGCACAGCGGTAAGCAACCTTGAAAGTTGCTCGGCAGAGTGCCGATGACGACGGACTTTGTTCTCCAACGCTCGAAGAGCACCTCGAGTCATCGTCCGCCGCCAACTCTTCCGGATTAGAATGGCAGCGTCGACTATGAGGTGAAATGGCTTGTGGGTCGACGTCGCCGACAGGGTCAACCCAATATCTTGTGAAGTAGCGGAAATATTCAAACTCCAAGAACTCGTGGGAGTTTGAGGTGCCACTTCGACAGGACTGCCCAGACGTCGTGGACACTTTTGATCAGAATAATAATGACGCTTCGCGATGTCGTGCGCACGGCGTATCTCTTCAGCAGCCCGGGAGCCGGAGAGACATGAGCTGAGCTCAAGCTATGGCCTTGGGCTGCTGTAGCCGAAGCCTCACCCATGTGAGAAATCGACTAGTGGGAGCGTGATGGAATATTCCATGTGTCGCAGGGCGAAAATACGCAGGAAGCCGGCGTTGCGCCGTAAGTTTGGCAAACTCAAATCTATGATGGCGCTCAACGTGCACGTCTACTTCCTTGTGACTTTGCTGTAAGGTAGACAGCGAGAAATGGTTATGGTGCCGCTGCACCCATCGATCAAATATCTCCTCATTCTCGACAGTAGGTTCGCCAGGGGCGAGCAGCACAGCAATAGTCCGTATTGTAGGTTTAAAAGCGCCTTCTTCCTGAGCTCCAAGTCGAGCGTGGTACCGGTCTATTGGGATCTCTTGGAGTACCGAAAAGCGATCCCGGAGAGCTTCTCGCTGATCAAGCTCAGTTTGATTTGTGGCCGGGGGCCCGACTACGTAGACGCCTAGCGATCGAGTGATCGCGTATTTCGCTTCGGTAGCGGGATCCACCGAGCGAACGCCATATTCCACACTAGGGTCTAAGACAGAACGTTGATACAAGCGCATGAAATCCGCCCTGTCGACAGCGCCCATTTGCTGCTCCTGTGCTTCGTCGAGGCAATTGGTAACAATATCACTTTCCCCGAAAATCGAGAGACAGGACCACGAACATGGTGTCCGCAAGGTTCGAGCTGTGATTATGACGCGCCGTTGTCGCCCCGCATTCTTCTCGTTGTCCCATGCTGGAAAAGGAGTATCCGACTTGTAGTCGACTTCCTCCAACTCCTCAACGTAGAAATTCGTCGATCGTGGCGGGCGCGATGTGTTGCGCTCGGGAGCCGAGGGCTTGGGATGTGCTTCCCGTGAAGCCGCGGACGTACTATCCGGAGATGCACCCTGTGCGGAAAAAGAAGGGCTTTGCCGGCGGGCTCCTTCAAAACCAGCTAGGCTGGGTGTTTTGCGTGTCATGGATACCGGGCCCACTGAGCGGAGAATGTTTAAGGTTGTTCTTAAAACCGTAACAGTGTCTCAGACACGCGAGCCTCGTATGAGGCGCCTATTAAATGTGAGCTGTGGATATTTATTATTTGAACGGGGGAGAGTGTAACGGGGCTATACGTAACCTCGTACGAAAGGGTGGACCACACAAGATGGTATGACCGTACATAGGAGTAGAATACACAAGTTAGTGGAATAACACAATAGTGTTGCTACACCGTAACAAGGAGCCACTACGTGGCAGGATTACCAGTAGTAATGCACATTAATTAGGTTTGACTATGCTAATAAGTTGTTACAATATTAATTATGAAAACCTTAGGTTTTAGATATTGGCGGCTTTGCCGAAAAACAATTAAATATAGCTCCAATTTCGAACGGAAGAGCTCATTTACCTTGGCTAAGGCCTTAAGTAGTCTTGGAGGCAGCGGTTTGCGATCCGCTGCACTCGGACGGGTTCTTTTATAGAACGTAAGGTCAGTGACCTCAGCTGAGCTTCCTCTAAGCAAAGAGCTACGGCAACCTGCAGTCGGCGTCGAGCATACACGTTTGCACAATGTATTCAAATGACGAAAGAAGTCCGAATGTAATCTACATCATGGTTTCGAGGGTGTAAAGGGGTACGTAATGTACACAATGAGTTTAGATTACTGCTGTAAGAAAGCAAGCTTAAGGATACAGAGAAACTGTGTAAGCAAACAATCAGCTGGTAGAGCAAAATCTGATTTCTAAACCTCTCGCAATCAAAGCTTTCAGCATAACATAACAGGCTGCTTCTGAAAAATACGTTAATCATGTAACCATATTAATTGGCCACGTCACCATCATGATTCGTGACGATTCATACTTAGAGACACGCGAAAGTGCATCCGCCACCACATGAAGCCGATTTGGCCTGTAACTTAACTGAAATAATTACCGGATAGAATGATAACCATTCCGCTCATCTTTGCGAGATGTAATGACGACTTTACCGTGTGCAAATATATATGATCCATATAGATCACAACAGCTTAGAGATAAGCAAGTGCGTCTTGATCTTGTCGAGTTATCCTTGTTGTAAGTATCATCTTTTTTGATCAGAAAAGTAATGTATGCCATCCTAAGTTAGCGATCGCGCGATCAAGTTCGTCGGCATTTCTTTTAGTAAGAAGCCACCAATAGCAAAAGCTATTGGTGGCTAAAGCGTCTGAGCAACATGATATGCCCAATTCATATTTCAACACGCCAGACTTATTTACCGCTCTCGCTTAGCACCCCAGCGCCACATGACATTTTTAAAATATTGGTGGCAGTCCGTACCATATCGGCGTTTTGTGCCGACAGACCAACTCAGTTTTTCCTTTATATGTGGAGCTAGCCAATATCCACTGATCTAAGTGCTCGCGGGATTCCCTGCATATTCTTCTTTGGCGTTTGCCTCGGGGTGATAGCTATATTGAGTTTTATTTAGCGTGTACAATTCGCCACTTCGACATAAGTCAACGCACTACCGTCTAAGGTAATGACGACTGACTTACATCTCTTGTAACCACGTTGCTCCATATACAAATAAATAGAGCTTTCTACTCAAACACGATAAAATTTACTGTTTCAAATGTGGATGTTCTGCACTTAAGCGCTAACGCAGCGATTTCTTAAGCTTGTGACAAAGATATACGATTTATGCACCAGGCTTGTCCATCTTCTCTTGATAATAGTCATCTGTGTCTACCGAGGCGTGCTCTGGACGACCGCAACACAAAACGACTCTATTTTTTTGCATGGGTCAGAGCGAGGAGAACGCGGTTCTCTGATTGGCTCTGTCAGATGTGATATCTGGCGACAAGCTTACAATTATTTTCATCCATCAACACACTGGAGCTCACGACACACCGTTCAAAAATCCTAGCCCACCTGAATTTTGAGCGCTGCTCAAGAAATCTTCCGATACCAAACGACCTCACTCTCACTTTCGCGTTTAGCTTCTTCTTAGCAATTCGCAGACATCACTGAGCGATCGCGACTATTGCCTTGAAGCTGTTGCAGCTTCATGGCCGCGCCGACAGGAGTATTAGTTTCAAGCAGATAGTTTACAGACTTAACAAAGCTCCATAAGGAGAGTAGTGGATGACCCCTAGTGTTCTCGACTTCCAATTTAAGTTTTATATGTGTGAGGTACATCATACTTTTGTTGAGATCGAACATCAAATCAAGATTTCCAGAGTCTTTAATGGCTAGGAAATACCTTCGAAAATTCATATATTATTGTCACAAGACGCGCGGTTACAGCATTCAAAACCTTTATCTCCAACTTCCACGCGTACGGTCTATTTTACGACCGTCACAGCAGGACGATATTAAACCTAAAAGAGCTTTCAACGCTTCAGAACGCTTGAGACGTTCTAGTCTATGAGAACATCCTCTCTTAGATAGTTTTGCAGCATTTCGAGCTAAATTCGATTAGCACCATCCGCCACGAAATACAAGTGAAAGAATTTTTTTTCGATATGCTTCCCTGCGCCTACTACAACAAGTCATTTTTTTACTTGGAAAAACTTGCGATTGACTATGTGATCCCTTAAATCTATCAACTAAGAGAAAAGGGTCATGTGGGGTATAAGCGGTTCGTGTAAATGCAGCATCTGCAAGTAACGCGATAGCTATGAGGTTCCCTTCGTCCGTCTAAGCTCAGCTGAGGCCACGCCCATCGGCTCTGGTGTGATTAACGAGCCTTCACAGTTCGCACTCCAATCGGTCCTAGAAGCATAGAAGCAACGCTCTTCACGCACATCACTGTTCTACTAGATGAAAAGTGGACGAATATAGTCAAGGTGCGCACTTGGTCTTAAGCCCAACATGGAAAATTAACCACTATTTTCCGAGGTCGGTCTGCCGCCATTTAAGAGTCCCTTACTGTTAGACAGATCCTGCAGATTTTGTTATCCTTGAAGCTTAGACAATACCCTGATCGTGGACTTCGCCTGATTATGCGGCGTACCCGCCTTTAGATTTTCTTTTTTCAGCAAATCATATAGAAAAATCCATTTTTTGGAGCTCCTGGGTCAATGCCTTTTCTTGTGCACGGCTTCCTAGCTTGATGACAGCTAGTATGACGAGCTGTTGTTTTGTTAATTGCATTGCCAATATTGGTCTTTTCTAACTCTTTTTGTACAGAGCAAAATATGTTTTTGCTCTTACTCTTAGTGGACTGGTCGCTGGCTGTCTCATAGGCTCCGTTTTTGATCATTCGTAGAGCTGTCCTACCAGCGTGTACTCATCGTTAACGTCAATCTCAATGCAAGCGGTAGTTGCCTTCAGTGCTTGGATCGTTACTTGCGTTGTATGCTTTGGGACTAACAAAGCTATTAAGCTTGTCGTGGTACACGACGACAGGTAGGTGAAAACCTGGTCCAGTACCGAAGATATAGTCTAATTAAGATCCGGTCGAGAAATCGTCTTTAAGTGCTGTCAGATACATTAGGGGTATATTGCACCTCGCACAGAAGAAGCCTGGTCCGCGTAAATTAACCCATAGAGGACGGGGACCGATCCGACGATGACCGGAGCGAGAACATTTGAGTCGTCTATATAGTATTTTTTGCCAAAGTAATTTTAATTTTGAGTTGAATTAAGTGTCACTATCTACAAGAATAAATTCATAAGTGATGCACCTAGTGAGACTGGCGGTTCACGTATCCTACACATCTCTCCTATACAAAATGTTATCACACTAGTCCGTGCCAGCACTAACCATAATTCTTCGTCGCGGTACTCTGCATTAATCTTTCTGAGCGTCTCTTTAGTTGTAGGGGCAACAGTGACAATGACGTAATGTGTGATACACCATAATACGGTTCATTCCACATACTGCAGACTTCGTAGTTGACTTGACCATCACTCACACTTTCATTTACGTACCCCTTCATCCTTACACATTATAACATACAAAGACCAAAATATAGAATCATCGAAACACTCCAAGGGGATCACGAAATCTACTTATTTGATGTATAAGTAGAATGTATAATTCAAGTCGTATTTTAGCAGGTATATTAGAAACGTTAATAAGAAAGAACTAGGAAGAAGCCTCAGGTTTCTTTGCAATCTTTTTCAGCTCGTCGGAAATTGTACGAAAGTAAGAATGGACGTGATTTTCTCCGGCTTTGATTATATCCAAGACATTTTCTGGGAAGACCTCATTTATTATGTTAGCAATCAAGCTATGACCAGCTGATTCTTCTTTAAAAACCACGTAAGAAATCAAAATGCCCACCAAAGGATCATTCCAGGAAAACGATTTCAACTCGAAACTCCTCAGCACTTCAGCGTAATTCTCACGATTCCACTTTTCGGTAAT